GTGGGGCAAGGGCAATATACGAAACCTAAACATTTGTACCCCCGTAATACGCTGAAATTAAAAAAAAATTAAAAAAAAATAAAACTGAGAGGCATGCACGGAAAAAAAAAAGAAAAAAAGAAATGAGACTCATAAACGTGACTCCGTGTTCCTGTAACTTTTAGCACCATGGGTATAGGAGAAATGATCAGGCTTTCCAAAGAAAGCCCAAAAACAGTAAAGAGACCCCATATCCATGTCCTTGGGGCAGAGTTCTGTTTTGCTTAACTTGCCCTAGTGGATTGGAATCGGGTTTAACGGGCTTGGCAGAAAGGTCAGTTGCACACTGAACTGAAGGTCACAAACCCATCAGAACAGAGGGAAAATAAACCCAGCCAGAGGCCCGTGTCCTAGTTGTTGCTCTATTACAGTGTGTGACCGTGGGCAAGTCCCCTTTGCTCTCTGACACATTACCTCACTGGTAGAGTGAGGAGACCGAACCAAGTGAGCTTGAAATCTTAGACATGGCCAGGTGCAACATTCTACATTTGCCTACGTCCCTTCCCTGAAGGGTTTTCCTTTTTCCTTTTTATTTTTTTTCATTTTTATCCAAATCCCGATTAATAAGATACATATTCATGTTACTAGTTGTCAGTTTCCTCATCCATGAAATAATTCCTACTTCACAGGGTTGTTGGGAGGAAGCAGTTTCCATGTGGCCCAATGTTCGTGGGTGTAGTCAGGCTGGGTGTTTAGACAAAGCAAAGACACATACAGACAGTTTTTAAATCAAGGAGAACTGATTTTGAAGATTCCAACACCTACATACTAGCAAGCGTCTTATTCGGTACCACTTTAATTGTGTGGATTTGTCCTTCCCTGCAGCTGGAGTGGCTACCAGTGCCAGTCCCTAGATGTGACACGTTTGTGTGTGGGCAGGGCCCGAACACGGTCTGGGGTGAGGGCTGGGGGCGGCAGTTTTATTCCTATTCAAAGGAGACACTGCCGGCATGACATCACGTTGGTCTCTCACTTCCACTTGCTTCCAAACTTATTAACCCCTAACATAGGTTGAAAAAGAAAGAAAATTTCATTGCAAGAATCTTTGCCTTGATAATCCTATTCCAAAGACATAACTATAAAGAATTTTTGAACTCCACAGAAACATGGTCTGTAATCATCACCACCACCACCACCACAGCCAGCCTGGAAACTGACTGTCTAACCTGTCTGGAACGTAGTTGGGCAAATCCTCAAACTTACAGAATACAAATGATAATCATAAAGACTATATAATAACATGGGAAAATGATTAAAAAACTGCCAACATCTGCTGTGATTAAAACAATGTCTCAAAGTTGGCAAAGCACAGAAGATGATATATAAAAATTAAAATAGCTATGTTAGTATTGTATTATGAACATTATTTTTGGGAGGCCGAGGTGGGTGGATTGTTTGAGCTCAGGAGTTCGAGACCAGCCTGAGCAAGAGCAAGATCCTGTCT